GTTACGTGTGATTAGAAGTAAGGGAATGCATATGAGAGGTGATGTAGCCACAGTTTTCAGCACAGAGGAATGAGATTAAAAGAATGAAATTAGATTTTTATGCTGTAAGGCAGAAGGAAATGAATTAAGGGTGGGTACACTAGAGAACGTGGGAAAGTAACTATGATTACATCCTGCCAAAATTTATGATGTCCTTCTTGTCATTTAATTCCTTTTTGTACAGATATTGCAACTGCATTTAAAGGGACTCATTTATGCATTGCCAATACATACATGTGTTTTACAACTTTATTAACAGCCTTATTCCAATATTTGTGTATACACATAAAGAATTGCATTATATATATGTGTGTGTGTAGTTATGATTGTACATCATCACTCCACATGTGAGTGTGCATATGTGGGCGAGATGGCACACACGCGCCAGGCAGGGTGGTGGTTCACCTCGTGAGTGTTAATCGTGACTGAGCAGCTTAAGGAAGTCACACTTGCCAGGATGATCCCCATGTGCTCTGGCAGCCACTGATAGTAACGGCCACCAGCACAAAATCAGGTAGTCCCTGTACCACCGACTGACTTTTACCTCTCACCTATTGTACTCGCAAACACATGTTGGGGGCTGTAACTAACAACACACATCTTGTGTTTTTAAAGAGACAGAGACATGCTGCTTGTTAACCTTTCTCCGGCTGACAGGCAGGCACAGGAGCTCACACAGCTGAGAGCAACCGGAGGCCTAGAATGTGAAAATACAACACTGGAAATGTTGTTGCTAATCTCATTTTTTTCAGTCCTGTTGTCCATGACATGTTCAGTGAGCAGTGTGTGAGTTTTTGTCAGTTTTTAAAGCTTAAATTTTTTTTAGAAATAAGATTGCACATGAAAGGGCCTAGTCTGCCTGCAGTGAGCTCTTGCATCAGGCCACCCAGAGAGTGTGAGATGAAGTGGGAGGTACACATGGGAGGGGGCAGCATAAAAACAAGCGGTAACCTTTGACACATTTAACAAATTTAAAGCATTATAACTGCAGAAAACATTAAAAAAAACAAGCAGATTTATACCGCAACTTGTGTGTACTTTTTGCAGAATGCACTATAGTGGACATTTATCTTGTGTTTTCCTTCTCACATACTGCCAACCCTCTTCTTCCTACTGATAGCTTTCTTCATCACCTCACTCTTCCTCTCTGCTGGAGTTAAAAGTAGTGGGGGGTTTTGCTGGTTAATGATAATGAGAGACCTTACAGGAAGGTGATAACTGGGACCACTCTTACAATGATCAGTATCGATTATCCTAAGAGACCCGCTGGAAGAGTGGGGGTTGTGAAACGGGGGACAGCAAAAGACATTTTTTTTGTTGCTAAGAGACAGTAACTGGCATGGTACAAGCGGGTGACGTGATTGTGGGTGGTAGGGGGAACGAAGCATAGAGCATTATGGGAAGAATTGCTTCTTATTGATCACTGCGCTTTAACAAGAAGCAATTCTGCCTTTCCAAACAATGCGAAGATTGGATGGTTAGGAAGGCTGAGGTTTGAGGGCGAAGATGGATGGTGGAATGACAGAGCGTCTGTCTGTGGAGACTAATCAGGAAAACTAACTGTTTTCAGTCGCACTTCTTGACTCAGGTCATTTTGTCTGGTGAGGAATCTAAACTACTACTACTACACAGTTATAATACTGGGAAACTGCCTTTCATATACACTGATAAATTGCTTTCTCTCATACCCCTTTCATACCAAAAACTTGTTCAGAAAATTTTCAGACTGGAGTCTAAATATACTTTCATACGCAGCACTGCTGAACCAAAGAAAACCGTTGCAGACTTTAGATGCAGACAGTGAACACTCACGCAGTTTAATTCATACTACAATACAAATACCAGGGGATACACATTGATGTGCGACCCAGACAGTCTCATTGCTCCTAACAGCAAACATGGCAATTGACACCGGGTTCCTGTGGGTGTTTCTAAAAGGTATTTTATAGGATATAGAATCTAGTTATGAACTCTGCGTCAGTGATTACTCCTGAGTTGTGCTATAGAATAGCTTGCTGCTGGAGTCGTTTGCCTTGGGTTGACATAGCACAGAATTTCTTGAGCATTTGGGCCTTTTTTTGGGGGTATTGTAGATGGAAATCATGTACATATCAAAGCAACTCCAAAGTCTACAGTAACTACTTCAAATATAGCTGTTTTATTGATTATAAAATTGTGAATAATAGTGAATCTTCTCACGTTTCAAGACGCATATTTGATGTGTGCAGTCCACATAGGCACAAATATTGGCTTCACAAGAATGTCTGCGGAGGATTCCCCACAGGTCCTCGCCGACTTGGGCAAATGACAAAATTTACATCACATAGACCCTTGCAGGCAGTGAAAGCATGAATTGGCCCTATTAAGGCGCTAAGGGTTTCAATACTTAGTCCTTGGCTACCCTGAGCTGACTTGCTTTCCTGTCCCTGCTTTCATCTGGACTTTGTAGGACAGAAGCTGGTTGTACGTATTCAAAAAAAAAAAAATCTAATATTCTTTTGCTTCAGACCTCCTGCCTAGGAAATTTGCCAGTTGGTTCCTTACGCCGGGCTTCCCCACATGTGTTTTGCCCTTATCCAGACAGTATCACACCGGCAGCCTGAGGGGAAAATGGCCTCCCTTTTGTGTGTGTGTATTGGCCATGGGAGTGGTGAATATGTTGCGTCAGGTCCCTGTCTCTCACACAGACACACACTCACATGCACACACTCAGACACACAAAGGCCCTCTTATGTAGACCCTCCTGAACTCTATTAGGATTTATTACCTCAGCTTTGTCCCCAGTGAACACGTCTGGCCTGCGCTCCAGATTGGGGGCAAACTGGTGGAAGGAATGAAGGAAGGGTGAGGGGAAGGAGGGTACGAGTTTGATTAGTTTGGGCTAAGAGAGTGTTTCTGATGTTACACAGACACGCATTGTAAAGTGCCGAAAGATTAGATTCAAACTGGGGAGATTTGTGGGGCATTTGTTATGCTTTTGGTCTGGAAGCAAGATAGAAATCAGTTTTGTTTTATGTTTGTTCTCTTACTGTATGTGGAATTAATAGTTTATAGGTTGTGTTCCCATATCAGAGAAGAGAAGCAGATCTGTTTTTATGCCACGATAGCGAGCTAAAGCTGACTTCATACACTTTGTTCCAATTTGCACAATGTGTTCCGTAGCAGAAATACAAGCTGTAACTTTACCTCAGGGTTAATTCGGTCTCTGGATAAACTCATGCTCGATATACATACAGATAACACCGTACTAAGAAACAGATCATTTTGTCACCTTCCAAGTTACAAGGGAGTGTTTGAATTTGTTTAGACAGATTAAAATTGTAAATCTAGGTTGTATCAACAAAATTACAATATCGTCGACATCAGTGCAGCTAATATTATTATCTCCCTTATAACATTATATATCCCCTTGAAAATGAATATATGCACAGCTGGAGGCACTCGTCTGCTGGGACATTTCTTGCTTTTCATCTTGAAAGGGGTCTATTACTATAAGTTATTTTATTTAAGAGGATAGAAATCTTCCACTGGTATTTTTCACTATTTGCAAAATGAATGTTTGAAAATCTATTGTCAGAAGATATAAAATGCCCAAGACAAATGTACTGTGTGTGGGTATATGTATGAGGAAGAGCAGAGACTAGAATGGGATGTTTCATTGCATTACAGGAAACCTTCTGTCAAGCACACCAGTGATCGTAGTGGACATAAACAGTATGGGCTGCAAAACAACCAAATAGTTGGTTTTAACAGAAAGGCACTTGTGAGTGCACACTTTGCTAATTGCCTGATTATGCTTTATATCATCCTCGTAGTACAAGTTTTCAACATATGTGTCCCGTGTGGTTTGCGCTTCTGCGGACCTCCATCCGAGATTTTAATTGGTCCACTAATGAATGTGGAACGTTCAGTGATGTCAGATGACAACCAGCTAATGAGGGCTGTCAATCAATAGAAACTCACACTCTGCATTGTGAATAATTTCTGCATTCAGCTTGTACATCGGCGAAGGCAGCAAGATTCCGCCTTGACACGCCCAGTTGTTCATGTAATTGGTTTCACATGGCTAGTTTTGGTGTGTTTTATCATTTTAGCTGTTTAAGAGTAAATAACTCTGAGTGTTAGGAATCAACAGTTTATCGTCCTGGCATATAATCAGATCCGATATTCAGCAACTTTTCGATTATGGATATTGGCATGTTTTTTAAAGCAATGTCAAATGAAATACATTAATTAAAAAATTGAAGCTGCCTCGTTTCATTTATAGTCACCCTGCTGTGGTCTTGGGCAATGTCCCGCCCTCAGCACTGTCTGATATGAGTAATCGCCAATCCACACTCAGGATAAATGTTGAAAAGTTCTTGTCTCTAAACGTATTGAAAACATGACTAGACAAAGACATTATTGCTAATGTTATGTCTTGAACGCTGTGTTAATCTAAATTGTTGACCCTTACTGAATATCCGCATATGTCGTCATGTGACATGAATTCTACCTGCTTTTGTTTCTGTCTGACTTATTGTGCTTCCTAAGAGCTCTTGTTTAGAACTTTGTTGGCGTGCCATGTTTGTTAAATTCTAAATGTTTGTTATCTTAATGTGTGCTATCTTACCATCAGTTTACATAAAAGGTACTTTCCAGTGTAGGCCATATCTCTTGCGCTGTGCATTCCTTAATGAGGCAATTGCAAGTGGAAATTTTTCCAAAGTTTAAATTAGGATGTGTTGCTAAAGAAGTGAGACTAGCCGTACTTTGTAGTGTTAGTTTTGCATTTGTAGTTTCGCATTCCTACTGAAGTGTAGCATTTACTAGATGTTAATTTCTTCCTCACTTTTTTTCACTTGCTTCCTATGTTTTGATGTGGTATTGATCAAAATAGCAGAAGAATTTCTCTGCAACTTTCTAATGTCTCTTTGTTTGTCTCTCTCTGTGTCCCCTCCATCCCCCACTGTCTTCTTCAGGTCATGGAGAGCTTTTCCCCTTGTTAAAAGTACTATCTCATACACAGCCAGCACGTGGGTGGCAGTTAGAGGGTGCATCGTCTAAGTCGGCTGGAGGTCATGTGTGAAGCTGTGGTCTGATGCCCACCCTCCACTCAGCGCTGGCCATGGACGGGGAGAACTACCTGCATCCAGAAGGCCCTCAGCTGGACAGCAGCTTGTTCTCTGTGGCCTCCTCTAACATGGAGGTATGTTTTGCGATTTTTTTTGTGCATTTATACACGGACGCAATTTTTTTTTTTCCCTCTTAGTAATGCCCAAGTGCATATAATGTCTCTGCAATTCAACATTTTTGATCGCTCCCTTTTATAGGTCAAATACAGTAAAATCAAAATCAGAACATTCTCAACATTGGTTGCTTAAGATTATGGAAGTTTTTAAAATTCTACAACTTTGGAGGTTAGTGGAGCAGGGGAAGTAAACAACAACCAAGATGGCATGTGAAGAATCCCTGGATATGTAGTATGGGTGCAGCCCCACTGCTAACAGAACATCAATGTCTGGAGTGCAGAAACATTCCTTAATGGAACAAGGGTCACGTTAGCTCGTCCATCTTACTGTCCAGGGATCTCATTTTGCCCATGATCATAGAAAGGAGATAGCTCCTCTTCTCCCTCAGTCTCTGTTATGTAGATCCAGCTTTTTACCGTCGTCGCGTTGCACCTACTCTGCATCCTCCTGATTTCTGTGTTAAAGTAAATGTGGGTAGTTTCAATTATTGTATCAGTGCTTAGAAGTGTTTAACATTTTGTTAAAGATATTTGCCTATTTTGTTAAAAGTATTGCTTCGGTTTAATTGTTCTAAGGATCATCTTAGCACTCCTAAAAGATTATGTGTGAGGAGAAGACCACTTGGCAACCCCACAGGCACCAGCCAAAGGCAGTCCCCTAGGTTGCAGTTTTACAAAAAGTAATCCGGATCCGCACCAAAATGTAATGGCATCGTCCTTTTTTCATGCTCCACCTCTTTAGCAGGTTTCGTTAAATTCGGCCCAGCACTTTTTTATCATCAGTCTAACAAACAGACAAAAAAACCCAAACAGCATTGAAAACATTACGCTTTACATTTTGCTTGCTATCTCTTATCAAGCATGTAAGGAAGACGTTGTACCTAAAACTAAAGACAAAACACCTCCAACATTTACTATTAAACATTAAAATACTGGTTAGACTAGTTATGTAATGTCTAAGGTGACGTTCATCTAATCATGTGTGAGAAAGGAAGTGATCTTAGTTGTGGTAAAACTTGCAATTCCAATGTAGACTAAATATTATGTGTCACGTCACACTTCATTTTTTTCATTTATTCTTTGTGGTGGAGGCTTACAAAGAGGTGGTTTTATGTTTTTCTGTCACTTGAGTTTTTCAGTAAAGGTGAATGGATTTTTTTATTGCAATATTTTGAAAAATGACATTTTGATCACCTCAGTTTCAAATTTTAATTGAAGGTACTTGAACCAAAGAAACAGCCCCAAAAGTTTTTGAGCACCACAAACAGAGTTCCGCCTACATGCATTGTAACGGACTAGTGACTGAAATTCCACAGAATTTCTCAAAACCTCAGCACACAAAGCTAAAAAGTATTCCCCTTTCTACATTCTGCTTTGATGAGTGTTTCGTAACTTGGCTCATGACCATTTAAGGGCTAATTCCTTGATACTGAAACAAAATAAAATCAACATACTTCCTGTCATCAGCTGCAAGTGAAATTTGAAGCATTTTTGGAGCAAAGTTGGAGTTTATTTCAAGATCTTGCTCATAGTTTTTATTTTCATTGCAAAACTCACTTGTGGTGATTGTAATAACTTATACTTACTATTAAACAATGTACCTCGATACAATATATATTTTGCTGTTTATTTTACCAAAAGATATTGTACAAGAGCGATTAACCTCCGAAAATGTTGTTTTTCATGTTTTAACATCATGATAAAGTTCTGCTGCTACTTCACATGTCCAGTGTTACATACATATTTTCATTTTGTGTGTTTTAGAATTCAATATATGCCTCCTCTGGTTCCTGGGGATCCTTCTCTCAGCAGGCTGGATACAGCATACACTGCCCTATGCAATCTGGAAACCAGTAAGTTTTACAACACCTTGCATTATCATAAGCTAAGAACAGGTGCAGTGGCAGAAAATCTGCAAGTAACTTTCTGCACTGTGCAACAAGTTCTCACATGGTGGTTGAGAGGCTGGAAGAGAATGTTCCATAACAAATACAATGATCTGTACTTACAACAGACAGTGGCCTTTAGACTGAGGGCTGTCAACCGTTAAAACAGGGCGATAGCTACCTACAGAGGTTTCACACATCAGCCAACAACATCCTATTCCTCCTGGGACTCTGAATTTTTAGATTTTTTCTTGTTATTCAGTGTTGTGTTGTGTGGGCGTCTCGTGACAGTTCTGCCAATGCTGTTTGTATCTGACTAATACATTATTGCCCAAAACAACCACATACCAACAGACACATTTCCCTATTTATTTGTAGACTTTTTAATTAACACCGACTTGCAAAAGTACAATTCTTTCAAATCATTAAAAAGAATACACACTGATACTATTCATTTTACTACGATAAAGGAGAAACCCCACAGATTCACAGCTATATATTCTGTTAAAGCAAGTAGTGTATATTACCATAGGACAAAGTAAGAGCTTGAGAACAAAGAAGTTATTTAGATATGATCAAATATGCAGTAATTACAAGTCTGTAGGATGGTGCTTCAAGTGGAATGTGAGCGATGCTGCTTCACTCTCGAGTAAATTTATATCTGTGTGATTTTTAAAAATGTGGGTACACTGGTCAACCCTGATATAAAAGTCTTATCCTGTGATTGAAGTACAATACATTTTAAACTGTCAAGGAGGGTTCTTGTTTTTAAAATCTAAGGTTAATTGAATGTTTACAGTTGATTGCATTATTGCAAGGGGCTGGTGGTTAGCACCGTCGCCTCGCAGTAAGAAGGTTGCAGGTTCGTGTCCCGGTGAGGACACCCGGGATCTTTCTGCGTGGAGTTTGCATGTTCTCAAGGTTCCCAGGTTCTCTGACTTCCTCCCACAGAGGTTAATTGGTGATTCTAAATTGTCCGTAGGTGTGAATGTGAGAGTAGCCCTGCCTTCGCCCTAAGTCAGCTGGGATCCAGTTCCCCCCTCCAGTGAGGATTAAGCTGGATGGATGATATGTGGGGTGACTTAATGCAATCAAGCCAATACATCACTTGTTATCCAGACTGTTAAGAACCAGTTCACGTCATTGGGGAGGGTCTTCTTTCTCAGACATTCCTTTTCCCGTAGTGGGTGACATGTTCTCAGCCTTACGGGGGGTGTTAAGCATAACATCTTGCAACTTGGCTCTGATTTTGTGACTTCACCTCTAAATTGCATGTGTTTGTCTCTTTCTTCCCGCACAAGGTGTGTATGTGTGAGAGAGTAATTCAAGACTGTGCAGCATCTTGAGTATGTTAGCTGTGTTGCTTAAGTAGCTTGCAGACTGAGCAGAAACAGCTGCAGCCTTTATCGGTGTCTACGCTGCATGTATTTAGCCACATTACTGCTGTGTACTACGGTACATTCTGACAGCGTTCACAAAATCAGAGCTGAACCACCTGCAGTGGCTATAAAAGGTATTGACCCCCGTGGAGGTTTTTTTTCTTTTTTAGAACTTTTCAGCACAAAATCATAGACAATTTAATTTGGCTTATTTGACAAGAATTGATGAAAAGTTACTCTTTTGTGTCAAAGTGAAAACAGATTTCAACACAGTGATGGGAATTAATAAAAACAAAAAACGCAAAATGAGTGACTGTGTAAGTATTCACCCCCTTTAAAGTGACTCATTTAATTCAACCCAGGTGCAGTTAATTTGTGGGAGAAGTTACATCATTAGTAAAATGGAGATCATCAGCGGATGTGTTTCAAGTGATTGTCGTGTAAAGACACCTTTATCTGGAAGGTCCAGTCACCGGTGAATCAGTAGTCCTGGCTGTAGCTACACCGTGAAGACAAAAGATCACCCCAAGCAACTCTGTGAAAAGGTTATTAAGAAGCATAAGTAAGAAGATAATTCAAGATAGCCGCTAAGTCGGGCGCCCCGGTCGCTCAACCAGATAAGACGGCGACCCATGCACAGGGGCTATAGTCACGACGCAGCGGCTGCAGTTCGAGTCCAGCCAGCTCATTTGCTGCATGTCCTTCCCCCACTCTCCTCCCCACGTTTCTCTGTCTCTCTTCACTGTCCTATCTAATAAAGGCAAAAATAGCCTTAAAAAAAAGATAGCCCCAAGACACTCAGTGTCCCTTGGAGTGCACCTATGACTCTTTTTTTTTTTCTTTTTGAAGGAGTCACAAGTCACCACCATGCTTCAAAGTGGAATTGGTGTGTCTGTGATGATGTGGTGTGTTTCTTGTTGGCCAAACATTACCGTCTAGCCTGGTGGCTTAACCTTCTTCCAGTTGATTCCAGAGAATCCTACTTGTCCTCTGTTGAACCCTAGTCGAGATTCAATATGAACTTTTTCAACAGTGTCTTTCTGTACCGTAAAGTTTTGAGTGGTAAAGAACAGGCAACAGTTGTTATGTGCACACTCTCTGCACTTTCAACTCCTTTAGAGGTGTCATAAGTGTCTCAGCGGCGTCCTTCCGTCGTCTCTTTTTTGGGACGGCCTGCTCTACACAGATTTATGATTTATTTATGCACATGTACGATATTTCTTCCATTTCCTAATCATGGATTTAATTGTATTCCAAGGGATATTTCGTGACATGGAAACATCTTCTCCTATCCATCCCCTGACTTGTGCTCTTCAATAACATTGTCAGCTGCTATGTGTGTTTCCTTTTCACTTACAAAAACATTCACTGCACTTAGATGATTTCCGTTTCACTAACGGTGTGACTTCTAGCACTAACTGGCTGCACCTTTGTTGAATTAGGTGAGTCACTTATATAATCATTGATTTCATGTTTTATATTTTTAATCAGTTGCCATTACTGTGTAGAAATTTGTTATTACTTTTACATGAAAGAGAATGTTTTTGTAATTTTAACCAAGGTTAAACGCTGAAAAGCAATCAAAGGGTTAAACTTCCAGGGGAGGTCAATACTTATTATAGGCACTGTACCTGAAATAGTTAACACACCTTTTACTACCTGGCTTTGGTTACAGGGGCATGGTTACTGGTCGGACTTTTGCTCAGCATTAGTGAACACGTTTCTATTAGAGATGCACTTTTTATTTAGTATTGACACATTAAATGGCATGTGAAGCATTGTTAGACTCATCTTAGAAAGAGGAAGGGACAAGTTATGTAACATAAAGTAGCATGCAAGCAAATGAGAAAATCTAAACTGAAAGCTCCCTCATGTGATGCTGGCATGTAGCAGAAACTTTTAAAGGTAGCGTTTTACCTGTAGTAGCACTCCCACATAAAAGTCATATGAGTGTTTTACATGTGTGTGCAGTATGGCTTGCTGTTTTTAAAATCTTTTTCATGCCACTTATAGCAGCTTTACATAATCAGGCTTCCATCAGAATGACCTACCATGGTAACTATCAGAAAAGCATTGTTTTTGCCAATGCAAACATAACAAATATGTAGATTAAATTTGAGATTTGTGTGGGTTATCTGTATATCTACCCACACTATCTGTTCTGTGATTCAGTGGATAAGGACCCAGTATTTTAAAGAACAGAGTCCTTGTTCTCTGAGGCAAAACGTCTAAAAAGTCTTTAATTTAGTCATAACTGAACTTGTGTCGTAGTAAACACAACTGAAGAAGTGTGACCAAGTACTGATGTGTTGTATTGTTATTGCTGTGTGTGCCGCGCTTCTGTAAAAGTTCAAGCATCGAATGACGTGAAAGCTCAGTCTGTGGTTTTCGAGTTCACTCAAAGTGGAATTTTCTGACATCAAGCTGGTTTTACAAGACTCTTATCTTACTCTCTGTCTCACAAAGTACAAATGTGATCAAACTCATGAGGGATTTGTGGTTTAGAGCTAAAATGGTGTGATTGAATACTATCTACCTGTGTTGTAAAGACCCTCATCTAGCAGGGATTAAATGTTAATGCTGTCAGTGAATATTTGTTGCCTAGTGGTGCAGCAAACAGCATCTGATCATCGGGTTATTCTATGCTGCCATTTTTGCTAAGACACTTTTAAGTTTTCATCTCTACTGTCAGTTCAACTAAATAAACAAGACAGTGAGCTTTAACCTGCAGTTTCTGCATCACTGCCTAGTCCAATTTACTCATAGCATTCAGTCTGACGTTTTTCACATGACTCTGTGGTATTTTTATTTACTTTTTTTTTGCTGTATCTGAACCATACAGAGCTTTTAAAAATATGTTTTTATTTGTTTTAAATAAAAAAGTGGTAAAACCCCCTGAAATTCTTCCTAGAAGTAAAACAGACACAGGTAAATTCTCTGTCATCTGTATCACATCATGCATTACAACACATCAGCACTGCAGAAAAGTTTTATTTGAAAGGCAGAACTGTTGAGAGTGTGTGTTTAAAAACTCCTGACTCTACTGTACGGATAGAATTGATTTGTGATGCTGTCTTTTGCATGATACAAGGCAGTTTCTCAACCATTGAGATGGGACCTTTCAAAGGAATTCAATCAAATCCAGAACCATAGCTAACGACATGGGGCTCTATTTTGATGTTGGCTCATAATGAGAAGCTGCGACTCTTCACTGGTGAACTGGTGTTTGTCTGGGGTGCAGTAAAGGCTATAATCTCACCTGCTGCATTAGGTATTCTATGTGTTTGTGGTTTGTTTGTTACTTAGAGGAGAGCGGCAGTATGGGGTGTACAGTTGTTACTCAAGATACATCAGTTGTTAGACACAAGGTAAGGGAGCTACTCCTGCTTGTACTTTATGTTTTGGTAAATAGAGAACTTTGGAGCTTTTATTTTGTTAATGCAGTCTCGGTTAGGTTCTTCAGTTTCTGGTAGAAGTTCTCATTTGTTTTATTGTTTTTCTTTATTCAAGTGGAGTCCTCTGCCATTAGTTCTTCTTTTTTTCTGGTCTGTGTGGTTTAGTTGTTGTTAAATATCTATGTACGATAAAAACCAATATTAACTTTGGTTCAACAACATCCACCTGGCTATTCTTTGTTACTTCCTTTTCCTCTTGTGAGCAGGGTTATAACAGTATTGCGATCTTGAAGAATGAGTGAGCCTCAGGGTCTGCTGCCAGCCTGCTCAGAGCAGGTCACCAACTCAGAACTGCTGTGTTTTGTTGTGTTTTTGTCATTTAATAGGGGGAGCCTCCCAAACAAACATGTATGAAATCACACAAACCCTTAATTAGTTTTTTGTTTTGTGTGTCTTTCACTTTCATTCTCCATGAATCAACCAGACAGTCAATCAGAAACAAGCTAGTTTTTCTTTGAAGGCATGAATGTCAAAGAGATGGAATGAAAAGTGAATGATTCTGGCCACCTGTCATCTAACAACAGCGACTAGCCTATGCTAATGGCCTCTCCTTTACGCTACTGTCTCTGTTTCCAGCCATCTGAAGGCAGCAGGTATCTTTCCTCTCTTCACACTCTAATTGATTATGTGCACTGTCAAGCTTCAATTACACACATCAGATTCCCTGCTGTTATTTCAATTTTTTTTCACCAGAACCTGCAATATACTGCTACAAACCACAAAAATCTCTGTGTGTCTCACTTAAGTGAACAAAACCTTGGAAATTGACACATTGAAAACAGCTCACACAGTTACATGAAAAAAAACATTGATCAGTTAAAGCTTCCCCCAGAGTCCCATTTAGAATCTAGACTAGATTGACGGTAAGAAATCTTTCTAACCTCAAAGACCTGGAGATGATTGCAAAAGAGGAGTGGTGCAAAATCCCAATGGGATTATGCAAAAAGCTTGTTAGCAGTTATAGGATCCATTTGTTTGTTGTTGTTTTTATTAAGGACAGAAAATATATAAAATTGTGGAAATTAAATTTTAAGTAAAAACCATAGACTGTAT